AGAAAACCCACCAGAAATCAGGCTGATCTGAATAAACTTTGGTTTGTTTAGATTTATGACAGGACTGCACACATTTTACTTTCTTCCAAACTCACTGAGATTGGATCTGGCCTCTGAGATCCTAGATCGCTTCTCTGACAAATGCATGTTGAACTAAAACTCCCATGTTTTTTCCACTCCTTGGGTCGATGTGTTTGCAAGGATCTGTGTGTTTTTGTTGTGTTCAAGGCCTGTTTTTGCACCACAATTCCTTGTTGAATTATGTGTTTTCCACAGTTTTGTGCACTGACGTTTAGTAAAAAAAAATAAGGTAACCTATTTTATCTCTGTGTTTTTAGTCAGATCAGAAAATGATTTTGTTCTTTCTGGACTGCATTTGTTTATGTGGAGGGTTTTTTTCCTGGTCAGTTTTCAACGAAATGAGAGAGAGCGTGAATTTACTTTAGTGTAAACAATAAGACAAAGGCATAGGGCTCCAGTCACATTCCTCTAGTTGCATGCTTCTCACACAAGCCGCACTGAAACAGCAGTGGAAACACTTTGTCGTTTGAACCAGCCAACTCTGTCTCTACTACAGCCCCTAAAAACTGACGCTTTCATTTTTCCAGGTACAAATCCTTGATCAGAAGGTGGACTATGCTAATGTCCAGTCTAAGTGTGGCTCCAAAGACAATATCAAACATGTACCCGGTGGCGGCAATGTGAGTAACTGAGGGATGAACTCAACACCAGACTCTTGAGTATCTCTGCAGTTATGACCATCGAAACCAACGTTTGGTATAAAACAAAAATGCATGAATTAGTTGAATTGTTGAGTCAAAATTTGGATTTTTATTAATCCCTTATTGAATTACCAATAATGGTGTTTTATTTTTTTTACAATAAAGGTTTTTTATTAGCTTTGAAACTAACAGCTGGAGTTTTGGTGTGCTTTTTAGAAGCGGCGATGGCAAATATATGGCTAGCTAACTAGCTAACTAGCCTCCGGTTTGACTTGTCAAAGCTAAGTGTGTGGTAGCTTTAATAGTTAAATAGTTAACTTAATGAGTACTGAAGAAACAAGTCTCATTTTTGTCACTTTTTATCCCTTTAACTCCTAATCTACTTCGTTTGAGCTGAAACCGCCACCTCTCTCTACCCTTGAATTGTTCTGAAGAGTTTCTCTTTAATGTCTAAAGAACTTTGTGTCTACTTTCCTTACACCTGCAGGTCAAAATCCTGGAGAAGAAGATGGATTTGACCGAAGTCCAGGCTCGCTGCGGTTCTAAAGACAACCTGAAGCACAAGCCTGGAGGAGGCAAGGTGAGAACTGTGGATCATCTCATCATCATGCTATCTTCTCTCACGAGTGCCAGCTTCTTTACTTTTAATGTTGTCACATTTTGATGGTCTCACCAAACAGCTACAGCCTCGCTGCTCTAACTCACTCAGGGGGTCTCCTCCCCACGATTCTGCACTTTTACAGGTTAAAATCCTTGATCAGAAGGTGGACTATAGTAATGTCCAGTCAAAGTGTGGCTCCAAAGACAATATGAAACATGTGCCCGGTGGCGGAAATGTGAGTAATTACGGGATGAACTCGGCACCAGTCTGGAGAATCTCTACAGTTACAAACATTAAAAAACTCTGGGTAATAGGGAAACCAGATCAAAATACTTCAGAGGTTTTAAAATTCTGACAAATATATAGCAATAAAACTTCACAGTCACAGATGAATGTAAATTTCTCTTGGTCCCTTCCAGAGACAAAATTACATAAATGATTTTTTTTGCCCAAGTATGTTTTTTCCTGCCAATGTTTCTCAGCGCCCATAGTTCCATCACTATCAACCAGGCTAAAATATAGCCTTGAGTCAGCCCACACAGCCAACCCCCAAGACCAGTTACCATCGATCTTCATCCCAGTCATTTGTTAAGCTAGCAGATTTAGCTTTAGGTTTTTATTTTATCCCAATTTTATAATCATTTTAAAAAGAGAAGCAAATTTGATTGATTTTTTTTTTGCCATGAGAGAAAACGGGTTTGTTTTGCAGTTACAGACAAACTGAATACTTTTTGATCATTTTGAGTTGTCTAGGCTGTTCCCTCAACTGCCTGTTGCCAATTTGAGAACCTCTGAAATATTTGATCCAAAGGTGACTCACCTCAATGTGAAGTCTCCCCCGGCTCCACCATAAATTTGTTTTTTTTAAACCCGGAGGTGTTAATGTGAGTAACGTGGGATGTTCTCGTTCCTGCAGTTTAGATCAATCACACCTTCTACAGAAAGACAAGAGACACGCCGCCCTCCTCCCCCCGTCCTTATCAGCCATTTCCCCTGGTTAGACATTACTTCCCTGAGCTTCACACCCGTTCCTCCAAGATCTAATTTCTTCATCAGTGGTCCTCATTTGCAGCCCGGCTGCTGTTGCTTTCTCCAGGATAACATTCTTTTTTTTTTCCTTCACGTATCAACTTTCCAGGTACAAATTCTTGATAAGAAGCTGGACTTAAGCAATGTGCAGTCCCGGTGTGGCTCCAAAGATAATTTAAAACATGTTCCTGGTGGTGGCAATGTAAGTAGATCAATAAGGGAGTGGAGCTTTTTACAAGCTGCAGGTTTGAAGCTTCTGCTAAAATAAAAATACTTCCTCCTGTTTACTTCTTGAATGCATCTCCTCAAAGAAGTGGAATATCCAAGTGCACGAATAACCTCCCGTCTGTGTCCAACTTACTTCGTTAATGGCCCTATTTTTCACATTATCAGCAGTCATCTTATAACAAGAAAAGTGGAAACCCTTTTTTAGAGAAGCAGGCACACATCCTTTAAATGCAGTTAAAAAGGAGACAGAGCTAAAGTAAGACTAAAGAGGTCATAAAAGTAACATTTTGGGTGCATTGTTAAATAAAAAGGTAATTGCATTCAGGTTCATTAGATTAGATTGGGTATAAAAAGAGGGTCTACCAAAAGGTAGACCAAAAGGTCTTCCACATGGATCCAGGATCCCTAAAGGGCCACTGAGAGTACTGCACGGCAGGTCGTAACATCTTTGGTCAGGCTTTTTTTTATCTTTAAAATAAAAACATATATATACTATATATATATATATATATATATATATATATATATATATATATATATATATATATATATATATATCCATATCAAACTGTGACAGATTAGTATTAAATAACATGACACAAGGCCCAGCTTAATAAAAGCACAATATGCTTTGTAGTTAGTAGTTAGTTAAAAAAATAGGGATGTGGTCATAAACATCAAAAGTCCCTTATTTTGGAAGTGTACCATCTTCTCTGGAAATTGGGTTTAACTTTTTGCTGTCAATTTAAACTCAGAGTCTGATGAACGCTCAGGATTCAGTATGACAGCGAAATGTAATGCTCATGGTCTACGTCGGCTTGTTTACTCTGTGGGGGCTTGTTCTTGTCAGTCTGACTTTAATCTGTCTCTGAAAACCCTTAACCTTTAAGCAAACCTCAAAGTCAACCTGCATGAATCCTGTCTGTAGGCATTTGCACTAGTCTTCACTGAAGCTCAAGTTTCAATAAGATGAAGATCCACATTTAAGTACATCAGCTGTTCTTATCAAACTGTGACATGAGTCTCCACTACCACTACAACAAAGAGTCTCTGTTCGGGGCGTCTCCAACAAAGTGTGCCTGTTGTTGAGATGTGACCTCAGAGGGGACTGGAGACTTTTGTGTTTGTTTTTATGAGCCATCTCACCATGACATGAGAGTGTGAGCTGAGGTCACGTCATATTTGCATTGTGATGTATTGATAAAAATAAAGAAAATCTCTCCTCTCCCAGTGAGCAGTGCATGTTAAATGGAATATGGAATCACAGCATAGTCTTTTCAAAAGACTGTTCCACTGGCAGACTACGACTAAGACGTAAAGGTTAGAATGTCACAGACCTAAGAGGTCAAAGGGTAAAAGGCTGCTAGTGGAGTCATTTTTATATATTTCTTATTAGAAAACTGATGTCAACATGTACAAAAAATGATCTAAATTCATTAGTCACTGTTGTTATAAAATAACATGGCAGTCTTCTTAAACAATTGTGTTAGATACAAGATACATGTCAGAACTGACTTGACATGTAAGTCATGTGGATAATTCAACACTTCAACTTACAATGTTGGTAAAAGTCAACAGAGCCCTGAAACATCATCCTGAACTTTGTTTTTGTTTCCTGTTCAATCTGCAGATTCAAATCGTGCACAAAAAGATCGATCTGACCAATGTCCAAGCTAAGTGTGGATCGAAAGACAACATTCGTCACAAACCAGGTGAAACCCTGCTTTGACCGAGGAATGAAACTTCTAAATATGTTTGTGTATGACAACAAGTGAAACCAGAGGAACTCCCTGTCCTGGGTAAAGTGTTTAAGGGTTTTCTTTCATTAAGGTGGTGGAAACGTGGAGATTAAAACCGAGAAGCTAGATTTCAAGGCCCCGTCTAAGGTCGGCTCTTTGGGCAACATTGGCCATGTTCCTGGAGGTGGACAGAAGAGGGTAAGACCAGGTTTTCCAGGATAAAGAGCTGATATTTAGCAGTTACAGTAATACATGACCAAATCTTCTACTCATTGGCTGTGTTTCCTCAGCCATTGCTTTATACTTTAGAATAATGAACACACTTTTAACAGAAGCGCAAAGCAGCACAAACAGTCAGCAGCACCTCCCACCTCAAACAACTACAGAACTCAACACAGATCTCAGCACAGATCTCCCAGAGCTGCTGTCAGCTGTCCTGTTTCTTCTAATCCTAGCACAGCTTTTTTTTCAGTCCTGGGCGTTGCCTGTCAGGCTCTTCTAAGTTTTCTTGCTACAGGTTGTTAGGTTTGCTGTATATCAGTGAAATGTCCAAATGGCTTCTGAAGCACTAAGAACTCCCATGCTTTAACCATGTAGGTTATTTTTAAAGTTGGCTGTTACACACCAGTGCCTCTAGGAATACACATTAAATAAGAGGAAAAGATAAAAAGAAATATACCTCAGAAATGATCGAGTTTAGCCTCAGAGCTACTATTCGGACATAGTGGTTCTAACAGTAAACGTTAAAAGTAGTTTCATAATGTAGTGGTTAGCACGCCTGCCTTGCACGCAGTGAGTTTTGGGTTTGATTCCTAGAGGAACAATATGCTAGTTTTTTGTTTTTTTTTTCAATAGAAAATATTAACCAAACCCTGTGGTAACTTTAGCTCCACCATCACAACCTCCATCCATTCAACTTACCATCCCTTCATCCTATTAGTTTGTCACTTTCCTTTTCTGTCATTTTATTAACAGTCTCCAGCCTTATTTGCCTTAAAGTTATTTTAAGTTTACCAAGTTTAATCAGTTTTGAACTTCACTTTTTTGTTGATTATATTTCATTGTCATTTTTCATATCATATGTTCCATTTTAATTTTTTTTTGTTGATTCCGCCACTTTTTTTCTGTTGTATGCCTTCTCCATTCCTTTGTGCTGGGGTAACCCCTGTAGAGGGAGAAGGGGAAAGACACAGAGGGGAGCACCTCAGACAGCCCTTCATTCTCCTCCCCCGCTGTCTCTCCTCCTCAGTCACCTCAGACTGTCCCATCAGCCCCCAACACACCCATCCTGACGAACCCCCTCATAAAGATTGAGGACTCCTGTAAGTAGTCATGAGATATGTGCCTGAACCAAGTAAATGGCAAGAGAGTCACACTGGAACAGCTGAGCCTTATTTATATATATGTACAGTGTATATAAGTTGACATAGATAGAGATTAAGAATTTTTGATAAATGTTCTCCAGAAATGTCTGTACAAGTCATAAGAGACCTCTGGAGGGTACATTGAGATACAATGTACATTATTGGCCATTAAGAGTGAGAGTTTAGCGACAACGTGTTATTTCACCACTACATGCTCCCAAATCTTAGACAGCAAAACATTAAACCCTAAAAATTCAGAATTGTTAGGGTTTTGCAGATGTAACTGTTGCTTGTGATCTGACCTGTAGATTGAGAGCCACAAGCTGTCCTTCCGTGAGACGGCCAAGGCCCGCACTGACCACGGTGCTGAGATCATCTCTTTGGAAGACTCCCCCCAGCAGCTCAGCACCGTCTCCTCCTCTGGCAGCATCAACATGGCCGACCCACCGCAGCTCTCCACACTGGCTGATCAGGTGTCCGCCTCTCTGGCCAAGCAAGGCTTGTGAATGCGCCCTGCTCCTGTCCGTATCCACTTCCACCTCAGAAACATGACCACATAGAGGAGTTGTGATGATGCCTTCCTCGTTGTTTTCACTGGACTTTTTTTTAGCTGCCCATCACTGTTTGTCCATTACTAACCTAGGAAACTGTTGTCTCTGACTTTGGTCTCCAACCATTACTTGTAGTGAGAAACACCAGTATACAAATAGGCCAAAATGTATGTAATTTCTCTCTGTGGTCTTTGTTCTCTTTATTGACTATTATTTCTGCCTTTTGTATGTGTCTTTTTAAGAGTTACAGCACCCAAGTGTGGCAAAGTTCTCCTTTTGGGTCAGAAAAATGGCTTTATCATCACAAATATCCTGGCAAATGAGATAAACACATCCTGTTATTAGGTCCCTATTGACTAGTAGCCCCTGTTTTTATTATTTAAAGTAAGTTTTTGCCTTTACATAGAAAATGAATATGTAAATCTAAGGGAATCAGATTCTGTTTGGGCTCAGTTTATGCTAAAGTAGAAGGAGAAGTTACAGGGTATAATAAGGGAAAGATGCTAAAGATAAAGTAAAAAAAAAAACTTAACAAGGCATGAAAAGACGTCACTTTCGGACCTTTGTACTTACCGTGTTCGCTTTGTGTAGTTCTCAAATGTACTGCACTTGGAGCTACTGAAGACGATAAAGGCAAAACCTGAATTAGAAAAAAAAGAAGAAACTATTAAAAAAACAAACCCAGAATGGCTAGAGTAGAATTTTTGGTTTGTGTTGGGCACAGTTTTATAATCGTATTCTGTGGATATATGACATGTATTTGATATGAAGAAACATTTGTATTGTGCCTGCTACTGTCAGTGTTAACTTTTTATGTTACTGCTCTATTGTAAATGCGCTAAAGCTTGACATCTGAGGAGGAAAATTTAACTTCAAGGCATTAAAAGTGAAACTTTTATGTCTAACTTATTAAGCAGCAGAACAAACTCATGGTTAAATACATTATTTAAACTGCTGTATGCACTTAAACAGTTAGGGTAGCTAAAAATCATGAGTCATATACATGCTACTAGCTTTTAGCCAACATGGCTGCTAAGGTGACAATGCTAAATTCTCTGGCAGCCTTCATTAGCATTTAGGTGGTGACACAAAAACACCAGAATTAAAAAAGGTAACAGAGTTAACAGAGAACATCATCCTTTAACTAAAATTGTTTTTATCCACAAAATAACATTTCTTTAATACCAGACACTACTATTCCCAAACAGAAGCAACATCAAGTCATAAATTAGCATTCGGAGCTAACATTGAAGGCCAAGCATGTAGAAAGTCCCTCCTTTCCAACACCTTATGTTCTAATTTTTCTATGAACAACAAATTCCAACCTTAACACTTGTGGTTTCTCCTTAAATTGTTTCAATTTTCAATTAAATTTGCAATTTAACGGTACATTTTAGGGATAAATACCTTACACTCTTCAGTCTGTGGTAAGGCCTGTTGTGAGCCAACCTCATTTGTACCTATAATCCTTATTTAAGGCGCCTTTTGATTATCAAAATTGCTTTGCTGCCCCCTACTGGATGAGAAAAGAATATTTTTTTCCACAAAGATTGGTAAAACTATAAAATATGCACAGCGGGCACTTTTATAAATTAGTGAGAGTATTAACTCGAAAGATGTTTCAACACCTGCAGGGGGTGCTATGAACAAAGTTTTAAAGCCATTAAACATTCAGGATTGAAGACTAGATATTGCCCATAAGATGTTGTATTAGTTGATCGCAGTAGAAAAAAATAAAATAATGCTCCCATTTTGAAGGTATAGTAGTGCTGAGTAGCAAGTATTCGGTAGAGCCGCAAAACATTTAAGCATGTTGTCAATCACCAAGCTACCAATTACTTATCAATGACTATTGTTAGCACATACTGTCGTAGCTACCAGAAGGTATTGGTCCCAGCAGACCAGTAAGTGTAGATGTTTCATTTCCTGCTCATGAATTCAACTTAACGTGTGTATGAAATAGAGGAAGACTGAAGTTAATTTTTTCTGACATTTTCACACTTTAAAGAAAGGAGGAACTAATGCTTTTAAACTGTGCTCAAGTGAGATGAACTTACGTACGTGATTTGCCGCACTTGACTGGCAGTCACACCGGTACCTTAGAACTGATGAGGTGGCACTTAGCTGGTTGCTGTTATCCACATTGATAGAAAGTTAAATGAGGTTGCAAAGAGAAAAACAAGTGACACCATGTGGCCAAAATCAAAGTTATTAAAACAATGATTTGGACTATCGGTATCTATAGCTACAATCATTGACCTTTTCTTTTTAATTCTCAGCATTAATTTAAGATTAATTGCAGTGGGGTTCTATAAGAGTCAAACAAGACTATTTGAAGAAAAGGGGAACATGAGAGGTTTCTCTCTGGTCTATGTTTGTAGTGTAAATGGAACCAGCTGTAAAGTTATCAGGTCCTGTTTGTTTTTTTCATTTGTAAAAACAAACAACTCCCTAGCACAGAAAAAAGAAAAACAAACAAACATTTTAATCAATTTCCCCTGCAAATCATTTTCCCACTCAAACGACTTCTTGCATGTGTTTCATGTAAGACAGCCATCTGCTCGTTGCCTCCCTTCACAAAGTGGTCTCTTTCTATATCCTGTTTATATACGCTTTTTGGATTTGGAATGACATGCTTAATAGAATGTGTGTATGTTTGAATACAAGTGTGTAAATGCGTATGATGTTTATCTTCATTCAGTTTGCTCCCATTTCCATATGTAGTGTGTGGCCAACATGGACAAACTACAATTTCTCTCTTGTAGTTGCAAAGATGATGATTTGATCAAAAGGAGTAGTGAGAGGGGGGACAGGATTCAAAAGTCGCAATATTATCTGCATGCTACACTTTTCCTCCCCTTGACCACATATGGCTCTGTGCAGGACAGATATATTTTGAGTGTTGAGGAACAGGAGTGGATCCCAAACTGTGTGTTAAAAAAAAAAAAGAAGTGTGCCTCAGTGGTTCACCTCTGTTCATCCTTGTACTGGAGCTGTTTGGAGGTTTCAGCAGCGGAAAAATACGTTGTTTTAGTTCATTCTAACGTTGTACAGTTGTGGAAATGTGATTGTTCTCGTTACCGTGCATTTTATCAATAACTGGTTTATGATGATTCTTGTTGCTGTATATGTGTATTTGAAAATAAATGCTGTCCACAACAGTGACACCAAGTTAAACATAAATGTTTTAATGGTACTATTTACAAAAAAAGAAAAAACAATTCTGCTTTTTTGATTAGGTTAACTGCTGCAACAATCCAACAGGTACATTGACATCTTGCTTAACTACTAAATAAAACAAACGTGATTGAATGAATGGCTGTGGCATGAACAAAGGTGGAAAATAAAATCTGAAACAACCATAGATTTTTTTTCTTTTTGCATAGCAATAGGGGATGAAGGGCGAGGCATGAGTGTGGTTGTATGGACATTACAAAATGGTCAAAACAAAAAAGGGAGAAAACGATCCAATTTTGCAACAGAGTGAACGCGGAACTGGATTAATCTAATAGTTGAACTATTTTACAGCAGAAAATATTCCCTTACTTTAATGAACCTGAGCTCTGGGTGGCTTTTAGCAGGGAGCTGCTACACTTCAAAAATTTGCAGGTCATGCTGGACCAGGAGAGATAAAGTTCAGGCCAATTTAATGTCATTTGGTGAGATTTGACTTTGTTTTTACCAGGGCAGTGACTAAGATAAAGGAAGTGATTTGATGATCACACAAATTATTCATTTTTTTTCTTCTTTGAAAGATGTAACTCTTAACTGTGTGCTCTTGTGATAAGACTCAACATTAGCATGTTTCCCAGCATGCAGCAGCGCTTTCTGTAGGGCAAGTGCTTAAAAAGACACCCCAGTCCTGAAGAACAGAGTAAAGAGCCTGTGGGGCACAGAAGGGAGGTGAACACTCTCCAAAGAGGCAGTTAAGGAATGATTTAACTATTCAAAACAAAAACAAAAAGTGTGTGTTGTTACGCTGGAACTGACGACACAAATACAAATAAAACATGTCAGGAATGGAAAAACAAAACAGAAAGAAAGCAAACCAACAAAACTAGACTTGGCAGTTGGAGAAGTGCTCTGGTGACTTCAGGCGACCTCTAGAGGGAGAAGAAGGGACCACATCTCAAATGTACCTGTTTATTTGGATGAGGACAAGGAAAGGTGGGGGATTTTTTTCTTGTTTTGTTATTTGTCACTCCACTAAAAATGTACATGGGAATTACAAGCAAACTAGTCAATAGAAAACACCCTTTGGCCATATTTTGAGGAGTCCGCTACATAGTGCGCTACGAGTGTACACGCGACATATGAAACACCACTAAGCCCCCATGTACATTTTTTAGCCTACTACAGAAATCATTTTTGTAATGTGTTTTTTTTAATACATTTTTTGTTTTTTTACATTTATCCTTTTTTCCTGTGACAAAACAAGTGT